GCGTAGTCTAAAACTGCTTAGGTTATTCTAAAATCTGTTGAGCATCGAATTTTCTTTTGCTCGTACAGATTCTTCTTTTTTGTAATAATGTGTTAACGAAAACGAACTGTAAAAAAATTGCATCAATGGGTAAGAAAAATCATCAAAAAGTGTAAACAAAGCATGTGAGGTCTCTTTGTGTTTTTTTTAATCTTTTAGAGACCTAAATAGTAATATTTAATGCTAGAAACTAATACAATTAGCTGACACCACAGAAGAAAAAAAAAAAATCATCAAAGTACTGTAATGTGTAATGTCATGTGATTTCTGTAAGTTAATTTAGGAAATTAGATATTTTGACTTTTATTATAAAGGCTGTAGCATCAGAAACTCTTTTACATAGTTTTCTTCTTCTCTGAAACGGTTCAAAAGAAGACTTATTAGTAGCAAAACAAAAGGATACCAAAAAACCATGGTGTATCCAAGTACTTTGTGGATTGTTGTCGCTGTTGTGTTCACCAAACTTTTTTTTGGTTACGGAAAGAAAATAATCTTCCTCCAGGGAGAATGGGATTTCCAATTGTTGGGGAAACATGGGAGTTTCTCAAACCGGAAGATGTTCTCCAAGTGTCTTCTTTTGTGAGGAAGCGAAAGACAAGGTAAAAACTTCTAAAAGCATCATTAATGGTGATTTTTTTTGGTGTTTTAACACCTTTTTCATTAAAATATAATAAACTTTTCTATGTATTAAACCTTAAGACAAGGGACTTAAAAAAATAATATTAAAAAATGACTTAAGACACTTTAATAGGTGTCAAGGTTAAAGATGCTCTAAGAAATTCTTAATAATGTTATTATGCATAATCTCGCAATTATAAGGAAAAGCACTCTGTTTTTTCGTGGCTAAGCACGGGAATGTTTTCAGGACTAGTTTGTTTGGACAGAAAGCAAGTGTTGCTTTCTTGCGTGTTTGATTTTCACTCTAAGTGTAACCAAACCAATTCTGCATTTGGTTATCAAAGAACAAGTAATAATCATTCTCTTGTTGCTACATGAACAGCAACACTTGAGGCAAAACAAAAATCTCTTGGTCTTTCTATTTGTTGAGCAGTGAACAAATCATAAAACAAAACGAGGTGATCCCTCTCGTTCTGTCTTTTTCTTCTCCAAGCAAGCGTTATCTCCATTCACCGTCGTAGATGTATTCGGTAGAGTTATGAGGTCAATCACGGCTATCAATTACTCCTATATATTTATATTCTCAATTGGTTGGTCTTTCTTTTATTTTTTTGTTAAATACTATATGGTTTGATTCTTACGAATATAGACGATTCTATGTGGTGGGTGGTGTGGATTTGATAGCAGTGATTATAAATTTTGTTCCATCTTCGTCAATATCGAATAGCTTCTTTCATATTTAGCAATTTATGTTCTGTCCTATACCGACTAATTTGATATCTAAAGTTGGACATTTGTTCTTTTTTTTTACATTCGG